TGATGTGTGTCAAAATCACAGTTTGTTGACAACTGCATTCAGTACAGACATTTTTCCATTAGCAAAAATGATCAATGTATTCGCCATGCAGTGAATGTAACAAAAAATCCAAAATAAGAATTCAGATCTCCTATGGATTCAAGGGCCACTTATTAGATACAGAGGGCCTCAAGTGCAGTCCCTGACATCATCAATGAGACACATATAATTTCCAGCATACATGATGGTACGGAGGACTGTCGGAGACTGCAGAAATGTGACAGTAGTGGTTACAGACGGGATATTCTAAACAAGATGGCCAGAGACTAGGACTTGGTACATGATACTGCTAGAGAACAGTTCCATTACAGTCCCTTTATGAAGCAATGCTCCCACATTTGTGCTCCTTACATCACAATTAAAAATGATTGTCTGCACATTTCCCTAGAGCGAGAGCCATTATAAAAGAGAGAAAAAAAAAAGAGATATACAAGAGGGAACAGAGTTGCGCAGTGCAGACAATGTAGCACTGTGCAGCAGTTCTCGTAGTGTGTATATGATGTTACGGAGAGCATTACTCTGACCTTTTCATTAGAGATGAGGTATAGCAGTGCACACTGCTCCAATTTTGTCCGACTCCTGCAGAAAATGTGAGCTGTTGGTGGTCCTGTTACCACGCAGCTCAACAAAATTTGATTATTTCATTGACCTTTGGTGAAAGAGCCAGGTGGAAAATCGTCAGCCGGAGACTGTAGCCAATCAGTTTGGGTATTCTGACAGCGGTAGGTGTCGGCTGCCGGAGCACAATACCCTGGCTGTAAGAATATAATACCCGCAGGGGAGATTCATCCATTTGCTCGGTTTAGCAAAGATGGAGGAATCTGTAACATTTGATTTTGTTTAGCCGGCGGATTGAGGAATCAGTGTGTATAGCCAGTTTTAGAAATAGCATTTCTAGACATTGCTGGGTCACGGCAGAGAGCCGTGACAGGGGAGTGACTGGATTCTCCCCTCCCCTGTCTGACCCTCTAGCACTGAGTGGCGGAACATACGGGGTGGGTACAGCTGGCTCTGCCTCTAGATTGGCAGAGCCAGCTGTCACTCACGCAGCTGGGTGTATCCAGACATAATTGTCAGGATTCGTTTCAGCTGCAGCGTCTCAGTATACCGTGAGCTGTAGCTCGCGGTATACTGAGCTTTGGGTAACGGGAGGACGATAGTTTGTGTCCTCGCGTTACCCTTCGGAGAACTATGGGGAAAAGCCCTAACTCCCGTAGTTCTCCTTTAAGTGCAGCCCTTTGGAGCAATCAGGGGCCACCGTTGAGGCTCCCTATACCTGATAGGATGACAACCACTGAGATATACTCCTCTCTTTTTCTTCTTAGCAAACACAGAGTACTTCTGAGTGTGCAGTAACATGTGACATCACCGATGCTTGGTGTTGACCCAATGCTTTGCTAATTTGGAGCTTACACATGGCTGTCTTCTTACATTCCTAGCAGCTAATTAGTGCAAAGCAAAAAGTATTTGCAGATGGGGAAGGGGCAGTAAAGTTAACCTTCAACTCTGCCCTTCAGGTTCACCTAAATGAGACGAAATGACTTCAAATAACAGGCAACTTTCTGATGGCTGCTTGCGATTCATGTAATTCTTTCAGCAGGATTATATTGGAAAGGCAGGATTTCGTTTTGCCGGGCTTGGGATATGTGTACAATGCATATTTTACAACGCGAACTTGTGGTTAATGCGACCACACTTGCTAAGCAGATTTAAAACTCGAAATGGTGCACAGACCACAGGCCTGGATGGGATTCAGTCCACTTAATACCAATAATATTCAAAATGTCTCCAGAAAAATGACAACCATGCTTAGCTGTAATGCACCTTTAGAGAACATAGAATACCAAAAGACTGGAATACAGGACAATACATCTTCTGTTTGTCATGAAATTCAGGTTTGTTTGTTTTTTTAACTACGAGTGGCTTCCTTTCTAAAACATCATAAATGAATACAAACATCCATGCAGGTCCTTACTACGGCCATTACATGGTTGTTATTACATTGTTGAATGAACATCTTATGATAGATTTTTTTCCCCCATGTTTACCTTCACCAGCAACAATTTAAAACTCCTTTCATGGATCTTTTTTTGCCTGTGTCCTGTAAAGCCGCGCCCATATACCTTGCGATCATGGGACGAAAACCCGATCGCATACGAAAATCGGCCAATATCCATAAGGCCCCATTCACATTGAGCGGATTGCCGCGCAATTTCCGCCACAATATCGCGCATTTTTGCCGTGCGATATCGCGTGAAGTTGCCGGATTTTCAATGGAGCTGTCTTTATGTACAGCTCCACGTCGACCATCGCGGTCGCGCCTGCAGGACCCTTTTTCGGCGGATGTCGTGCGATTTTTCTATTTTTTAATGCAGCTCGACGCTGAAGGTCGCGCTACCGGCGCTGGAACGTCGCGTTATCGCGGCCGCATGGATCCGCTCCTAAAGGTATGTCGCTCAGTGAGAATGGGGCCTAAGGTGTATGGGCAGCTTTAGAGAGATTTCCCCTTACTGCCTGTCCTGGAGACACACCAGGAAGTGAGAGGATATTTCCAAGGTTAGGGGAAATCCCATCTTAGAGAGCGGTCACCAGAGACGCTGTCCCCATTCGAAGATGTCCCCAACCACCTGTTGTGAAGACAACCATAAAAGTTTGGATTTCCCACCACTTGCCTGTTTCAGTAACAGTGGCTGCCAGGACAAAGAGGAGGAATCTGCCAAGCTGGCAGAGGATCTAACTCCTTAACCCTTGTGTGATTAAAGTTTAGCCGCTCCTGTATGCGCCATTTTACATGGCGATGACTGTATGATTCATTTTATTTGATTGAATGCAGGTCTGAGAACTAGGAACACACACTGTTGCACATTTCCAGTTCTCTGCGACAAGGTAAATTAACATCATCAAATCAAAAGGGTATTTTACATTTGGACTAATAAAGTCATATTGTGGTCACAAAGGGGTTTATCTATACAAAATAATAAAAAAAAAATTGCCTTTAAGCTGACCATACACTGTCCTGGTGACTTGGCTGAAATGTAAGAAGTGTGTGTGGCCCTGCTAGCATCCTTCCTTTGGACAACAAAGGAGTCGGGCCGAATGATGACTGCAGCCAATCAGCTGCAGTTATACTGTTTGGGTATTCTGGTGGGTGCTGGCTGTCAGAATATAATAGCCTGGCAGAGGAGATTTCCCCATTCACACTAGAATTGAGTGTTTTTTTTTCTTGTTCAGCCTTCGGGTGTATGACCAGCATAAGATATAATTTTAGTCCTAACCAACAGTTTCCTGGGCATTCATTGATCCCAGACAGCACAATCCGACATATGTCACAAAACATTGCCATGGACTATGCACTATATCCAAACATCTGGACAGTCACGTCATACCAGGATCTGAAAACTGGTGCAGGAGGTGGAGTTATAGAAAAGGTTTTCTTTTTGTCTCTAATCTACACTTTGAGTAATAGAGTAACTATGACATTGATTAACCTTGGCTTATCCCTGCAACACCCATGCTTGCATTTTCTTATCACTTCCAGGGTGACCCAAGTTCACTACCACAGGGTCGCTGCATGTCATGCTTGGCTGCTAGAATGGTGCAAGGCTGGCCTCATGCCTGCCAGAGCAGACACTGACAGCCTGTGACGTCATCCCCGACGTCACTCCAGCACACATCCCCAGAGGCCACGATCGGGCTTGTTCCTCCTTCAACTCGACGTGCCACTTCAGTCTTCCTCCCGTGCCCTTTCTATGTTGCGTGACGTCAGAGTGGAACCGTGAGGACCAGGAAGATGGAAAGAGCATTCTGACGTCACGGAGCAAGCCGCGTTCCGCCCACTGCCGAAGCTGCTCGCCCGGTGGAACCTGTTGAGCTCCTCGGGGTAGAGAGGCAGGATGTGATGGCGGAGGAGAAAAGAAGAAGGGGAGGGGGGGCAGTCGAGCCAGCCGACAGCAGCCATGCTTCTGGCTGCTAAGTGGGAGGGTGGGGGCTGATTTATGGGCCACGGTCTGCTCAGCGCCGCTATCTACATCCAGAACACCTCCTTGCGCCCCCTTCCTTTCTCATCACACTCCCCCCATCTCCAAACAAACGCCCCCGCCCCCATCACCCCCACCATTTGGGGGAGTTGAGATGTTGCCAGGCAGAATCTCTGCGACACGATTCCTTGTAGGGTGGCACGAGTTTACCCAATACAGAAGGGAGGGGGCGCAACACACGGCGATCCGGCCATGCAACTTTGTATTTATTTATCCTATCGCCTTCATCAGCAACAGCAAAACAAATGTCCCGCATCAAAGGGCCAACACGAACAAAGGCAGCGATGGCAACTGCACTGCAACTCCAAAGTAACTCTCAATCCTAAACGATCCCCCTGCAATGCGGATGGGATTTGACACGACCGAGCGATCTGACATACCCCCTAGATTAGAATAAAAAAAAATAAAGACAGAGATCGGAGGATGTATTGTTATTGCACAGCCTAGACTGACACGACATCAAGTATGCAGGCACAAAACAGCAGCATCCGGCTTGACAAAGGAAGAAGTTTATGATCGCGTGTGATCCCTTTCTTCCACACATCAAAAGGCCGAGCCATTTAAAGCTGCTGCTGCAGTACCGTGCGGAAACGGCCTATTCTAAACATAACATCAAAACAAAGGAGTCGGCTCAAACTTCATCCTGATTAATAAAAGTCATAGCGAGCGAGCGATCGCCATAACCATGCTCCATGTCTAGGGATCACATTCACAGAGCCATTCCATTATGAAAGAGGCTCCATGATTGTGTCATTCGAGGTCATTAGATACCGATCCTCTTCGGGGGGAGGTGGGGGCTGGATGCAGGCATCCAGAAAGGGTTAAAGCCCCAGCCCCGGCACACAGTCAGCCTTGGCATTTAAAGGTCCGCCTGGAAATGTGCCACGCACAACAATAACACGGCAACAAGCAGCTTCTACTTACATATTTCTTCTGAATGATATTCCTCTTGGGCCTTCCCTTGCTCATTCTGATCTCCTGATAGGGTCAGCAAAAAGACAGCGATTACCTCATGAATTAAAGTCCCGATATGAAGAGAGTTCAAAATAGAGATCGCGTAAACCTCAATCTCGATCGTGCTGGTTTTAGTGGTAGCTGGTAATCCGACTCTCTGGATAGCCTCCCGTCCACAGATTCACCTTGAAAGCAATCCTTTGTGGGAAGGAACGCCGAGCCGGTCGATGCATACGATTAAAAAAATATCACTTTAATAAAATAATCATAGTAGAGAGTCTCTTTTTTTTCGGATCGTCTTGAGAAGAAGAGGAGAAAAAGGAAAAAAAAACAAAACAACAACCGACGCCCTGTGCTTTTTGTTGTTAGTATTCACAGTCTCCAGTACAAATGTAACATGGTTTTGGCTTGTGATCAGCAGCTACATCTTGCACAGTAATGTCATCTGGGGAAGGTTTAGGGGTGGCCGAGTCTAAAAAAACGGAGGAAAGGTGTGCATAAATAGTAATAATAATAAAATGAAAAAATAAGCAAATGTTGGAAGTCACGTTTGAGCTGCAGAACTCTAGCAGCAGTGAGCTCTGCTCTGCACTGTCTCTCTCTCTCTCTCCTGCAAGCTGTTTTTTTTTCTTCTCTCTCTCTCGGCTCCCTTCAGCCAATCGCAGCGCGAGCAGGGTGGTGTCTAGTTCCCATGCAGAGAAAGAGTTAGTGACGTCAGCTGGTCACATGGCCCAGGGAATGGGAGGTTCTGCTTTTGGAAGGCTTGATGCACAGAAGCTGATTAGGGTAAAATAATGAGAGCAGGCTCCGTTTTTGTTTTTTTTTGCATGCCAAATAAACCATGGACCCATCATAGCGATCAACATACAGCTTCCTCATTCTCATATGGAGCAAACAGAAATCTGATTTACAAAATTTTACAAAAAAAAAAAAGAGGAAATTAAAGCTGCAGCTCATAGCAACTTGATTGCACAGGCTCAATTTACTACAGCTGGCCCTACACCGGTACAATGTTTCTGGAACGTTCCTTAGATTGTGTAATGTTTGAAATGACAATCGGATTCCACTGTAGTGACAAACCAAAAAGCAGCAGAATGGACATTTTTTTTCTCTCGAAGGCACGAAATTCTAACAATGATTGTGGGTCTTGTTTGAAAAACTCCATTCATTCCAAAATCGAATGGTAAAAGCCAGGGACGTCACGAAGTCGGGTGTCACCCAGAGCGGAGACTGGGTGACACCCCGCCATGATACCATCGCGCATGCATGTGCGATGACATCATCACGCATGCGTGGCCATCTAATTGACGCCTGCCGACGGCCATCTTTGTGATGGACGCCAGCAGAGAGAGGAGGGGACGTTCACCATGCGGGATGAGGTATGCCGTGGGGTCCCCTCCTCTCTCCTGACACTGTCGGGCTCTAGGTCCATGACCGAGTGCCGACTTTTTAGAGAGGGTGACACCAAAATGACTGTCAGTCATTTTTGTGTCACAGGTGCGGGCCGCCCCCCCCCCCTTGTTTTTTTAGATGAATGTTTGTACAAAAATCTACCATTGTATGGCCAGCTTAAAGGAGAACTATGGGGTCAGTGTTTTTCCCAATAGTTATCCTTAGGGTAACGGGAGGACACAAACTAGCATCCTCCCGTTACCCTAAGCTCAGTATACCGCGAGCTACAGCTCGCGGTATACTGAGACGCCGCAGCCGGAGCGGATCCCGACTTAGATGACGGGGTCCGCCCAGCTGCGTGAGTGACAGCTGGTTCTGCCTATCTAGAGGCAGAGCCAGCTGTACCTGCCCCCTCCTTCGTCCGTTCCGCCAGTCAGCGCTGGCAGATCGGAGCGGGGAATCCAGCCCCTCCCCCTGTCACGGCAGAGAGCCGTGACAGGATCGAGAGGCGAGCGAACCCAGTATGTGTTCGCTCACCTCCCGATCTACTGAGCCGACCTGTGACAGTCTCATTGTCACAGGTCGGCTAGAACTATGAGGTGAGTGAAAAGCACTCACCTCATAGTTCTCCTTTAAGCTGTATGGGCCGGTTCACACCAGCTCCAGCACGATTCGCTGTTGGGCGCGCATCCTGGCCGGCTTCCGCGAGGTACAGTAATGCCCTCTGTTCTGGTCCAGTGCGATCTGAAAAAACAATGCTTGCAGCATTTTTTTTAGAACACACTGGACCAGAATAAAAGGCATTCCTGTACCTCCTGTTCTGGTGCGGGGCGGGGGTGCATGAATAGCACTGCCACGCCCCCTCCCGCCCCTGAATGCAGGAAGCTGGCCGGCATGCGCTCCAGTGTGTTCCAGCTGCGAATCGTGCTGGAACACACCGGAGCCGGTGTGACAGGGCCCTTATGCAATATAATAGTTGTTTTTTAGGTGCCCTGATTTTTTTAGGTGCAGTGATTGGTGTTAAGTGCAGAAAAACACAAGTTCTAATGTTGATTCCTAACGCTATCGCTTTTAATGCTTCAAATATTCTATACCTTACTTAACCACTTGCTGTCCGGAGCAATTTCTTACTACTTGCACACATGATAAAATCTGCATTTGTGGCTAGAAAACAGCATCAAACCCACCAAACAATGATATATTTTCTGAGAGCAGAGGACCTGCAGAATAAAAAAATGCAGTTGCAATTTTTTTACGTTGCACGGTATTTGTGCAAATGTTTATCAAACCAGTATTTTTAGGATAAAATACACTAAAATGAAATTTAGTGCACAGAAACAGAATATAACACCCAATTTTTGGTAATATATAAAAGATAGAGCCACATCTGGTAAATAGATAACAAACATCTCAAGTCTTATGATTGTGTGCACCCGCGAAACCGCAAAAAAAAACTACAATACCCCAAATTTCTCATAGGTGACGCTTTAAAAGCTTTTACTGCTCATCAGTTTAGTGTAAGCAGTGATTGAGGGCCCTAGAATTCTTGCTCTCACTCCGATGTTCATGGCGATATGTAACGTGTGGCACAATTTTCATTTTTGCAGGTAGGCGCACCCAGACACGTGTTTGCAATTGTATGTGCATGTACGTGGCGGCCGTTTGGCTGGCTCGATGCTGATTGGCCAAGAAGCCAGTTTCCCTGCCAATCAGCATGGAGCCGGCTTCCCGGCCATCAGCATCAAGCTGGCCAAACAGCATGGAGCTGGCTTCCCAGCCAATAAGGAAGCAGGGTGGTGGGTAATCCTGATTGGCCGGGAAGCTTGCTCCATGGTGTTTGGCTGGCTTAATGCTGATTGGCTGGGAAGCTGGTTTCCTAGTCGATCACCATGGAGCCAGCTGTTTGGCCAACTCGATGCTGATGGGCTGGGAAGCTGGTTTCCCAGCCCATCAGCATGGAGCTGGCTTCCCGGCCCATCAGCATCGTGCTGGCCAAACAGCGTGGAGCCAGCTTCCATGTTCCTTCGCAGCACTGCCTGTCAGAGGAACTCTCCCTCTGCCCGGAAGTTCCGTATCGGGGGTAAGTATCGGAGCATTTGGGCGAGTACAAGTACAATTACTCGATAGTGGCACCGAGACCAATACTAGTATCGGTATTGGTGCATCCCTAGCCTAAATACATTGTGCTAAAAAGGTGTCCTTCTTTCTCATCTCAGAAAGTTGGGAGGTATGATAGTGCTGATGTTGCTTACCCTTGGGTTAGACCTTTTGAAAGAGAAAGGAAGTGATGGGAAATCCAAAAATATTGAGTTTCCTTTAGAACAAGAAGTGAGGAAAAATCCTGCAATGAGGCAACTATTCCCATGACAAGATGTCTCCAGAACACGAGGAAATTTTCTAATGGGGACATCTTTGTAAGAAGAGAATTCCCATCACTTTGAGAGATTTCCCCTAACTTCCTGTTACATCTCTGGGACAGGAAGTAAAGGGAAATGTTCCTAGTGGTACACATACAGCAGGAGTATGTCCATTGCCTAAATACGTACTCTTTCTCATCTCAGAAATTTGGCAGGTATGATAGTGCTGATGTTGCCTACCCTTGGGTTGCGTCTCTGAGACATGGAATAAATGGAAAATTTGCCAATGGGATGCAGACAGTAAAAAATAAATTAAAAGTAACTTGGAAGGGGTCTTAACCCTCCCTTACCCTATTAAAAGCAAGAAAAAAAGTTTTGGCTATACATACAGGCTATACACTTGTGTGCGTATGCCTGGAATTCATGTCATTCTGGATCATCCAGTTAAGAAGGCTTAAGACACCGAGCCTGGAAGAAGAACGGGAGAAGATGTCAGTGGCAAGAAGGGAGTGGCCATCACATTGCTGTAGGGGAGGTAAGTATGGCAGACTTTATTTCCACTTTAAATAGTAAACTTATTTTTACAGAGCTGTACACCTGACCATAGCTAAAAGAGGAACATTTCCCCAACCTTCTACATACAGGAAGGAGCCCTGTGCAGAAGATGCCATTTACGTTTATATATGACTTTTACCTAACACATGCTGAGGCAGCTAGGATATCTGCATGAAGCAGTAATGTGCCGTGCCTTCCGTGCTGGGTGAGGCATCCGCCAGCCAGCCGAATCTCCGCCCCATCCTGTCGAAGCCCCACCCCTAACTCGGTAACCAAGCTGTGTGGGGAGGAGGAAGGGAGGAGACAGGGTGGAGCCTCCCTGTCCCTCACTTGCTCGTCACTGGTGAGGCATCGAGATCGATGTCCTCACTGGGTTTTTTTTGCCGCTTTGTTATTGGTCCAAGTCATCCACAGAGCTCACGCCTCTAGCACAGAGTAGAGGCTGTGATAGCTCTAGCTTCACCAAGTTAGGTTACACAAGCAGTGGGGAAGCCCACTGCTGTGTAACCTAACTACCTGTCAAAAGCCAGATGCAGCACTGCCTGTAATTAACAGGCACTGCTCCATCCATGACAGGTTACACAGCGGGTTAGACTGAAAGAGAAAGAAAGTGGTAGGAAGTCCAAACTTTTGACTTGTCATCAAAGTGAGAGAAAATCCTTTGATGAAGACACCTGATCCCATGACAACAAGATGGAAATTCTGCTCACTCTGGAGACTCTCACTTCCTTTTGGATCTTCAGTGCAGGAAGTGAAGGGAAATCTCCCCAGAAGGGCACAGGGAGCATACAAACGTGC